TCACAGAGCTGAACAGCACATGCTCGTACACGTACACACACACACACACACACACACACACGCACCCACGCACGCACGCGTGCACGTGCGCAAACCCTTCCTGGGACCTATCATCTCAATCACCATTTGTTTTCCTCCTGTTTTGTTTCATCCTGAGTCTATAGGAGGCAAGAGGTCAAAAAAACAGTTTAGCTGGATGCTAGTGGCTCATGCCTCTGTAATCCTAGCTAATGAGGAGGCTGAGATTGCAAGGATAGCAATTTAAGACCAGCCTCAGCAGAAAAGTTCATGAGACCCTTTCTCAACCCGAAGCTGGAAGGAGTGTCACATACCTGTCACTCTAACCTGTGAGGAAGACTGAGACTGGGAGGATCACAGTTCTAGGCCTGCTCTGGCAGCAAAGTCCTCAATAATCCATCTCAACAGAAGATAGGGGCAATGGTACACAAATGGCATGCCAACAATTACAGGGAATCTGGAAGTCTCCAGGAAAGAGAAAGAGAAAGCCACCAGGAAGCGCCAGTGCTGGGCGTGAAGCGAGGTGCTAACCCAGGGCTTCTGGGGCATGGGTAGCTGGGAGTCTGGGCAGCACTAAGCAGTCTCTGAATCGTGGGTGCTAGGGCTCAGTCCTGAGGACTGCCAGCCGCTTGAGGGGATGTGGATATCCACATGGTTGAGGATGACCCCTGAGAGGCACCAGGCCCTGGAGGCCCTGCTGGGTGAGGAGGACCACAGGGAGGACGGAGGAATGGCTGGGGAACACACAGCTGGCTGAGTCATTGGTAGCTCCAGCTGTCATACCAGCCGCTCAGGAGGCTCAGAGCTGAAGGGTCATGGTTTCAGATCAACCCACACAGAGAAACATGTGAGATTCCATCTCCAATTAACCAGCAAAATGTTGGGCTCACAGTAATAGCTCCAGTGGTAGAATACCAGGCTGAGCAAGCAAGCTAAGAAAGCACAAGGTTCTGGGTTGAAACCTCAGCACCATCAAATAAAACAACAGTAACAACAACAAAAACATCCACCAGCTCTCCTCTGCGGGAAGAATAGAACCTGATCCCACAGCTCCCCGGCTCCTCCCCACCCCTGCCCAGCACGCTTCCGCCATCACCACCTGCCACACTTTGGTGGCACATGATCATCTTGCCACATGCGCCCTCTGACAGCCCCCACCCCCAGCAGGGACCCCGCACGTGGCCTTCCAGCTCTGTCCATTCTGCACACTCCTGAATCCCTACATAGGGGCCCACAGGATTTAAGACAAAACTCTGTGGAAATATTGTTGTCACAAGGTTAAAATAATGCCAATTTAGGAGAAACTGAAAGGTTGGAAATAAAGTTTTCATGATTCAGCTAAACAAAAGTTTAGCTTAAACAGCAATTTTAATATGCTAGGGCATTATAGCTTCACAACACAGATTATGTTTTTCACTCCAAAAATAGCACTTTCTTTTGAATTAGTTCCAAAATATCATTCAACTATTTTTCTATTTTACCCAGTAAACTTAAGGTCATATTTTGTTCCCATAAAAAAAGAGGAAAAGGCAGGGCACCGATGGTTCACACCTATAATCCTAGTTATTCAGGAGGCTGAGATCTGAGGATTGTGGTTCAAAGCCAGCCTGAGCAAGAAAGTCCATGAGACTCTTATCTCCAATTAACCATCAGAAAACCGGTAGTGGCACTGTGGCTCAAAGTGATAGAGCACTCACCTTGAGCTCAGGTACACAGCCCAGGTCCCACTATCGACCAAAAATACAAACAAACAGAAAAAAATGAATTTAAAGAATTTTAGTAAATATTAACCCTCAGTATTTTGCATAGATAAAATGACAGCCAGGTATAACCTAAGTAAACCATACATAACGTCATACATAACCTCTCTGTGGGAGGTTTTACAGGTTAGTTCCTGGACCATCCACCAGGGGGCAACCCTTGAGGACAGCTTGGTGGTTCCCCTGGGCATCTTTGGGGTTAGTGAAAGGGAGCAGAGAAGCAGCAACCTGCAGAGTGTACCAGCCATTGCAAATTTGCACACAACTGAAAAAAAAAAAGCCAAAATTCTCCCTACAGTATTTAGGATGGCTGAGTTAAAGATATTGAAAACAAAGCAAGCCTAGGCCTCTCCCTGTTTGAAAGATGGCAGGACAGCCACACAAAGTCAAAAGGTCTTCTACCTCCTCCTGCCCTTCCTCCAGCCTAAAGCCAGATGCAAATTCTGTCTGTGCCGGGCCAGCCTGAGAGCCACCTTCCCACAGTGTCCCCACCTGTGGGGGCCTTACCATCCCCCCAGAATCAACAGCACTCTGTTGATTCTCAGATACCATTTCAGCAAGGCCCGGGCTGTGCCAACTCTCCCAAAAGAGGTACGCTGACATGTGAGCAGACCGCTGTGTTTTCTCATATTGATCTGTCCCAGATTTCCAAGACTGAGAATAGAGCATTGCATGATTTCCCCCTCCGGCTCCATGAGTCCTCAGGGCTCAGGACTACTTCTAAACATGGTCAGACATGCTGGTATATGCATCCCGAACACCAAGCGCCCTCGGTTGGGAATTCATTGCTTTATTAAAAATAATGAGTTTGACCATGATAATGACAATTTGCCCTGTGAAGGTTAAAATGTGTTTGTGACTTTAAGTATCACTATCCTGCAATACTGTGGAATTTATGTAATCACTTAATCTCAATAAAAAATTATTTAAAAATAATGAGTTTGAGGCTGGTTCACACATACACTGCTGTCTCCCTCCTTAGGGAATCTAGAATTGTGAGCAGCACCGGCTAGAGAGAACCTGGGTTCAATCACCAGAGTCACCCCTTACCACTCCCCAGAAACCATGTCTGTGCATAGTAGCTGCCCAAGTAGTACTGCTGGAGCGACACACCCGTGGTGAGGTGCTGGAAAGTGTCCTAAACTTTGCTGAGCCTCTGTGCTCTTCTACAAAAGGAGAGAATGGCCGGGTGCCGGTGGCTCACGCCTGTAATCCTAGCTACTCAGGAGGCTGAGATCTGAGGACTCAGTTCAAAGCCAGCCCAGGCAGGAAAGTCCATGAGACTTTTTTTTTTTTTTTTTTTGGTCCGGTCATGGGCCTGAACTCGGGGCCTGGGCGCTGTCTAGCGCTCTGCCACTTGCGCCACAGTGTCACTTCCCGCTTTTTTTCTTTTTGCTTATGTGGTATGGAGGAATCGAACCCAGGGCCTCATGCATGCAAGGCAAGCGCTCTACCACCGAGCCACCTTCCCAGCCCTGCATGAGACTCTTATCTCCAATAAACCACTCAGAAAACTGGAAGTGGAACTGTGGCTCAAGTGGTAGAGCACTAACCTGGAGCTGAAGAGCTGAGGGACAGCGCTCAGGTCCAGAGTTCAAGCCCCACAACCGACAAAAAAAAAAAAAAAGGAGAAAATGGCAGGGCATGGTGGTATACACCTGTAATCCCAGCACTTGGGAGGCTAAGGCTAGGCAGGAGGATTCAGAATTCAAGACCAATCTAGGCTGTAGATGGCAGGGGAGGGTGATGATGTAAGGGCGTCATTCTGGCACACAAGCCATCTGCCAAACTCACTGTCATACTGAGTGACAGGTCTCACTAGAGTGACGGGGGGGGGGTGTCCAGGAGCTGAGGAAGAGGGAGGAGTCAGCCACAGGGAGTGAGATGGGCATGGTGGGGACAGAGGACTCAGGGGCCTCGGGATTCTAGAAACAACAGCAGAGGACACGGAGCACACAACACTGATGCAAAGAACAGGAAAGGCGAGTGGCATCCCCCAAAGAGGCGGGGCTGCCCTCCCTCCCGACCCTCTCCATGAGTAGCAGAGGTCCTTTACCCCTCCCTCCCACTCAGGCAGCGTAACACAGCTAGCTCTTCTACGAGGCAAGCAGGCGGAGCCCTGGCCTCTGAGGACTATGGAGCCTGTACCAGCCCCAGCCTGCCCACCTAGAACAGAGAGTTTCCAACTTGGTAAGCCACAGTGGTTTATACTTTGTTACACAAAGCCATTCAAACTTATTCTTATTTGCTTGTATTTCCTGGGTGGTAAAGCTGGAAATGGCTTGCACCTAATCCTAGTAACATTGTACCAGCGTGGAAAGATGGCTTCCCTTACTCTAAAAAAAACGACTCTTCGAGAGTTACAAAGAAAATCAAGCCAGGTCAGGCACTGGTGGCCTGTAATACTAGCTACTCAGGAGGCTGAGATCTGAGGATCACAGTTCAAAGTCAGCCCAGGCAGGAAAATCCATGAGACTCTTTTCTCCAATACTCAGGAAAAGCCAGAAGTGGTGCTATGGCTCAAGTGGTAGAGCACTACTAGCCTTGAGCACAAAGAGGCTCAGGGACAGTGCCCAGACCCGGAATTCAAGGCCCAGGACCGGCCAATACCCCACCCCCATCCCCCGCCACAGAATCAACACGGTTACACCAGAGATACTTTGTGTCTTCAAAATGATTCAAGGGTAGAATGCCTGCTTAGCACTTGTCAGGCCTTGAGTTCAAGCTCCACTATTACAAAAAAAAAAAAAAAAAAAGCAAAGAAAAAAGAAAGAAAATCAAGCCAGATACTTTGTTCTTCCCCCTATATCCCAACAGAGGCAAACCTGGGAAACTGAGCCACACGATTCCCTTTTAATAAGCGAGATGTGATATGCACACTGGCTACATGGGAGGCAGTAATAGGAACCTGTGGTTCAGGCCAGTCCTGAGCAAAATGGCAAGATCCTAGCTGAAAAATAATTAAGGCAACAAAGGCTAGGGGAGTGATTCAAGTGGAAAAGCACCTGCCTAGCAAACATGAGGCCCTGGATTCAAACCCTAGTACCTCCAGTGCCACTCAGCGCCATTTACCACAGTTCTGGGGGCCACAAGCAAGACACACCCACCCTGACAGCCCCATGTTTTGCAAAGTCCACAGGCACACAGCACAAGCCCAGGGGCACTGCCGGGACCCCAGCCCCCACCATCCGGGCCTGGCAGAGGTGGCGCAGAGATACTTACTGACTGTCATGGACTCCGGCACGGAGGCAGAGGGGAGCAGGCTGCCCAGAGGACTTCCCTGGCTTGGAGACCTGGCTTCCACGCTGGAAAAGTAGACAGAAGGACGTTACACTCAGCCTGTGGCCCTACCTCGCTGTTCAGCGCCGTATCCAACCCTCATTCTCTGCAGGCTTTACATATGCAGATTGTACATACACTGAAAAGCATCGGTGACCCACACCAGAGGCTGCACGGCAGAGAGTCATTCCTGAGCACAGGCTGGGGCCACCCGTGGGCGTGCTCAGGGCTGAGCAGGAGGCCGCACAGACTCCGGGCACTTTCTGTAAACTAGCGTCCCTCCGTGGCCACTTAGTCCCTCGTTTCTCATATCCCTGGGTCTTTGCTGGTGATTTTGCTATTTCAAATGTCCCTGGACACTAGCCCTGGGTGCTGTCACTGCTCCCAGCCTGAGATGAGCCTTTCCTATGCCTTATAGAAAAATGTGTTAGAAAAGCTTCGCCCAGGCCTGAGTTTACAGTGTTCTTCGCCCTGAGTCCAACATTTAATGAGCCAACAACCATCAAGATGAAATGAGGTGCCTCTACAAGGGACACACAGCAAACCAGCCGTACGGACTGACTGATAAAACATGGTGCCAGCAGCCTGACCCAGCGTGCGCCCTGTGAGCACCGGACTGAAGTTCCCCCAACTGTTCATAGCGAAGCTGCTGCAGACTTTGAGAACCAACTGCATTGATAATGGGCTCCAACCTGAAAACCAGACCCAGCATCCTTTGTGGAAACAGCAAGGCCATCATCTACCACCCACACATACACACACAGGCATACACGTACACACACGGAGGAAAAGCAGAACATCAACACTGTCACAGAACTGGGGTTAAGAGTGACAGTTTTAAGAAGGGCAAGGTAACCCACACCTGCAACCCCAGCTACTCAGGAGGTGGAGGCCAGCTTGGGCCAAGTTAGCTAGACCCTACCTCAAAACTAAATAAAAACCAAGTGCTGACAGTGTGGCTCTGTGGTACGGTGCTTTGCTTAGTATGCACAAGGCCCTGAGTTCAATCCCTAGAACTGGAAGAAAAAAGGTAGGACTTTTCATTCATTGCAAAAGTGCTAAAATGGAAACAAATAAGGATCCAGGTCTTACAAGGGGGCGGTGACCTTTCTGACACAGAGCCAGGTGGCCAAACTTCCTCTGGGACATGTCATTTTCAGAACTCTGTCTATTCTGGGCAGATCTGGGCAGCAAGCAACGTTTGGGGCAGAGAAAACCTCTACCCTAAAGGAAAGGCTTAAAGTGCTGATGGATGTATACCTGGGCATTTAATTAAAGCCATGAGGACAGAGAGAGAATGAGAGTGAGACCAGGCCCCAGTGGCCCACATACTCAATCCTAACTAACTGGTTAGTGGGACAATCAAAATTCTAGGCCAGCCTGAGCAAAAAACAATCAGAGTAAAAGAGGCTGGAGAGGGGCCCAAATGGAAAAGTGCATGCCTAACAAGTGCAAAGTCCTGAGTTTAATCCCCTGTATGGGGGGGGGGGGGGGGGAGCGAGGGGGGGGCCCCCCCCCCCCCCCCCGGCGGGGGGGGGGGGGGGGAAGACCAGTAAAGGCCACCAGAATAGTGCTGACATTAAGAATATACACGAGGGGCTGGGAAGGTGGCTCAGCGGTAGAGCGCTTGCCTTGCATGCATGCGGCCCTGGGTTTGATTCCTCAGCACTAATAAGCAAAAAGAAAAAACCCAGGAAGTAGCGCTGTGGCTCACATGGTAGAGCACTAGCCTTGAGCTGAAGAGCTGAGGGACAGTGCCCAGGCCCAGAGTTCAGGCCCCACGACCAGACCAAAAAAAAAAAAGAATCTACACAAGGAGGGAAAAAGCTGGAAGAAAACAAGGGAAGAGGAAGAGGGGACACTGTTCAAGAAGAAATATACTCAGTACTTGATTTATGTAACTGTAACCCCTCTGTACATCACCTTTACAATAATAATTTTTAAATAAAAAATTTTTAAAGACTCTACACCCAAATCAGTATCTCCTTCAGAATTTTTTTTTTTTTTTTGGGTCTGGTCGTGGGGCCTGAACTCTGGGCCTGGGCACTGTCCCTCAGCTCTTCAGCTCAAGGCGAGCGCTCTACCACTTGAGCCGTAGCCCCACTTCCGGCTTTTTTTTTCTTTTTGTTTATGTGGTGCTGGGGAAGCAAGGCAAGCGCTCTACCACTGAGCCACCTTCCCAGCCCATCCTTCAGAATTTTTTTGTGTGCCAATACTAGGACTTGAACTCAGAGACTTGCATTCTCCCTTAGCTTTTTCACTCAATGTTAACACTATCACTTGAACCACAGCTCCACTTCCAGTTTTCTGGTGGTTCATTGGAGATAAGAGTCTCCAGACTTTCCTGCCTGGGTTGGCTTTGAACCGCAATCTTCAGATTCTCAGCTTTCTGAGAAGCTAGGATTACAGGCATGAGCCACTGCTTCCCAGACAGATTTTTTTACTTAGGAGGAGGGAAGGGGGACTATGTATGGTTAGAATATGCTAGAGAACAGACTAAATGCTTCAGAAATATTGCAGAATAACAGCTAAGTTCCTAAAGACTATAGAACACAGTTACTATTAAATACTAACAAACGTTTAAACTAAGAAAATAACAGAGGAGGGCACACTTAGCTATGGCCCCAAAGTTCAGAAGGGGACAGGCGACACACACCCATATGCCCCTGGCAGTGTCTGAGCAAGGGTAATTCTAAGGTAAAGATAAAGTCTGAATAGGAATATGGCCTAAGCCTGCCCTGCATCCCAGCAGGACCACGCCTGTCTCCAAAACACAATCCAGTGCGCAGCCAGCCGTGAACATCACCTCCACTAGACAGCAACGTGTCTCAGAACACTGACCCGAACCGCAGTCCAGTCTCTGGCACAGCATGAGCCTCCGGTCCCGTCCCATTCTCCAGGCTTCCCACGGGGGCATCTGTGCACAGAGGATAATCACAAGACAGGAGGTCAGGGTCTGATTTCCATTCTATTTCACGCTGACATCTGTCCAACTGCTAGATGGGTTGACTTAGAACGGCTACCTGTTGCTTCCATTAGACACATTGTTGACACGTTGTTACAAACTGACATCAGTCTCTAATGGAAGGCCCTATGCCTGCCCTTACCTGTGACCTTTTGATGTGGAGGCTAGAGGAGACTATGCACAAAGTCTGTAGCCAACAGCTTGTTGTGAAACACAGTTCCTGTCAGTAGTGGCAGAAGTTGGACACTAGAGGGCAGCATAGTCTAACCATGGCTCCAGCTCTGCTGCTTTCCACAAAAGCCACTTAACCCCACATTCAAGATGTTAATGACTGTAAATGCATTAGCTGTGGCTCAAGTCTCCTTCCAGGAAAAAGGACCAGGGGCAAGATGCTGACTTTGAGATCCTATCCCCCAAGTGCTGACCAGGAAGCCAGCTCTGAGTCAGGAAGAGGAATCTCAGAAATGGGGTGAAGGGGCGCAGCCTCCTCGTAGTTCTGCCTTGGTCTCCGCCTGGCTCATACACCTCAGATGGCCCGGCTCCCAAGGCTGAATCTACAGCAGCCTTCAGAGGAGGAAAAAATGCTTCAACCTCATCTCTACGTCACACGCCACTCATCCCAAATGCTTTCCAGACTGCTCAGAGCCACCCACACTATCCCCACTCTTCTCACAAGGCACTTCTACTTCAAGGGTTCAATACCTCCTAGGGCTCTTCTGCGGCAGGCAGGTCACTTGGGTTGTGTCAGTCTCACTAATCTAACTCAGACCAGACATCCTGAGGCCTCCAACACCATGGAAGGGAGCCCATGCTGGAGGAGAGGCTGAGGTCTTGCACTTGGCATTGAGACTCGACTCTGACTGCCCCTTCATAAACGTGGCTGCGACAGGCGCACACTCAGTGGGCCTCACACACTGGGGCCTGCAAAGCTTTAACAGATGAGCAAACGAACCCCGAGGACGTTAAGCGTCTTGTCAAGGCGACAGGCTGTGAACCGTGTCCCTCCCCGCCGCAGCGTGCAGCCCTCCTCCAGCTGCAGACCCAGCACAGCTGACGTGAGGGGGAGTCATGCTGGACAGCAGCCTGGGTCCTGCCTCGTGGACCTCACAGACGAGTGGTCCAGTAGTTCAGAGAATGCACCATTGCAAGTTGTCAGAGAGATGGAGAGGCGTGGGGTTAAGGGCAGGCGGCGGGGAACCTGAGCTTCCCCTCAAGGAAGGGAGCCTGGGGGAGAGCAGCCTTCCTGCATGAAAAGCCACTGGGCACGAGGGCCTGCGGAGGGGAAGGACAGGCAGCAGGCGGCCGGGGCAGCGGGTGGAGGGGGCTATGGTGGAGCTGCTCACTGGGGGCTGGGGAGCACCAAGTGTTACTACAACCACCACCAATCAGCTTCCCAGGGAGGACCCCAAGACTGACAACCAGGAAGCACCAACCATGAGCCCTCACTATCTGCACTAACACTGGGCACATGACCTGCTCCCGTGAACCCTGAGAGCCAAAGCTGAGCGGGGCCTGGCCTGCACTGCACTGCCACCCCAGGGACGGCCCTGCCACCTCCGCACCCCTGTCATGGCCCTGGGCCTCTGTCCCCTGTCAAGTGACAAGGATGGCCTACCATCCAGCTGAAATTACAACGGCCTCCCGACACAGCTGCAGGGGCCAAGCTGCAATGCCGACGCCCCATTTGTGCTGACTGCACGGTGACACCCCTTCCCCCATGGGCAAGCCAAGCTCCTCCCCTTCCTTGGCCCATTCGTTCCGCAGAAAGATAGTGAGAACCCACAGGAGTTGTCCAAGCTCGTGGAGAGTGAGGCCAACGCCGCCCCAGCCCAAGCTCCTCGCTAACGCCCACCCCTTCTCTGCCTAAGGAGCTGGGGCCTCTATACACAAGGCACAACTACCTTCTGCCATCTGAAGGGCAAAGTAACTGTCGCTTATTGGTAGCCATGGTCCACATACCACCAATGAAGGGGGGCCTCCAGGAATTCGTGAGCCAGTTCACACTACTCCAATGGCCACGAGCACCTGTAAAGCCTCCCAGTAGCAGGGACAGCCCTCACTTCTGGGTTCTCACAGATGCTGTCTGCCCTAAGCCCAGACCTCCTGACTCCCATTTTTACCTGTACAGGTAACTCAAGAGAGCGGCTGCCCCGTGCACCCACCTGCTGCACCATACGAGCCCACTTGGCTGACGCTGACGGGGAACAGGACATCCGCATCGCCGTGCAGCACCTGCAGCGGAGCCCAGCTGTGCACCTGCGAGAGGCAGCTGCTCCCGTCCAGCGGCCTGAGGTGAGAGGACATAGCTGTGAGACTCCTTGGAGAAGGAAGGGCTTTGAGGGACAGGCTGAAGCAAGTACCAGGAACTGAGTCAAGAGAGGACAGAGGGAGGGAAAGCGGGTCTGGGGGGGGGTCACAGCAGGGGTGCAGTGCAGAGGAAGCACAGTGTGAAACAGGGACAGCCACGTGACTGGGCCCTGTCCCTTCACGGTGCTGGTCCTTAGACCCTTGTGGGCAAAGCACATGCTCAGAGCAGGTCACGCCCAGCTCCCTCCAGCTCAAGTATTAACTAACTCATGTAAGCATGCTCATCTTAACCTACAAGGCACAAAGGTACTTTGTGCAACCTCTGTAACCCCAGGTGGCTTCTACCGTGCCTGCTTGAGAGCATTTGCCAACAGCTCTGGCCGCAAAGCAACTAGGCAACAATAAGAAATCTCAGCATTTATGGGGTTTTTGTTTTTAAGATGTAGCCCGGATGGGCCTTGAACTGGTGATTCTCCTGCTTTAGCCTAAGTTCTGGGATGACACATGTGTGCTACTATACCCTTGTAATTGCTAAAGTTCATAAAGTCACTCTGTAACTTGGGGTATCTTTCATTACTAACTAGAGATACCTTAGTTAGTAAAGAAAGGAAAGAAGGGAGGGGAAAGGGAGGGCCAGAAGGGATAAGAAGAAGAAAGGGAGGAGGATAAGATCTATCCCAGGTCGTCAGGTATGCATCTCAGAACTTAGGCTGAGCATCTTCCAAACGTAGTCCCGTGAGTCTCTGGCCTCCTGCCCACCCTGTGTCCATACGTGTAGTTTTACCGTATTTGTATTAAAAGCCTTTGGGGTGTTCTCTTCTGTGTTGGTATTTCTTTACAACGCTTTAAAAGTATAACAACGAGGTAGAGTCCTGCCTGCCTAACTAACTAACAACTCCGTTGCAGGCGCCTCCCATGTGGCGTCTCCCCTCAGCCTTCCAGCTTCGCGTCAGACCAGACCCTGGAGATGGACGGGAGGCTTAGAGGACATAATCCTAACTGAATTTCACAAAACGTATCATTAAATCCCACAGATAACATGATAAGGCTCTCAGCAGATAGGGACAGAAGAGCTTCTTTCTCCCCCAACCCCGCCCCCACGTGTCTATGTCCTAGTCACTGACCCGATGGGTCAGGTGTGAGGCAGACATGGCTGTGCTCTTCCTTCCCAGGGCTCTGACTCCCAAGGAGGTCCGGGGGCTGCTGTAGGAGAAGGCAGCAACACCGGCAGGTCCTTCCTCCAGCCCACCAGCAGCTCTGGGCAGCTGGAAATGTCTACTGGTTTCCAAGACCATTCTTGCCACTTCCTAGTAACTGGTATGAGGGAGAAACGGGGTGACTCGAAACCTAAGTCAAGTGGCCCCCAAGGAGCTCAGAAACTGGCACAAGGGTCAATAATGAGTGTTACTTTTCATTACAAAATGACACTCCCTTCCAAACCTAGACCACGTCAGAAAGGAAAGGCAAGAAAAACAGCTATGGCCACCTTCCCCCCAAAACAGGGCTGGGCTGGCCACTGCCTCTGGACAGCTCCTCCCCTCTGCAGTACAACAGCCGGTCAGTTTTCTCTTGTTTTGCCTATTTGATATAAATTCCTAAGCCTATCTTCCTGTGCTCAGGTACTTTTCAATTATCAGCTGCGGCACTCATAGGCTGGGGAACAGCCCAGTGGTACAGAACTTGTCTGGCATGAACGAGGCCTAGTCCATATAAAAAAAAATGTTTTTAAAGCAAAAATCAAGATCCTACTATTCAGATGTTAAAGCTTGGCTCTGAAATGCTAACGCAGCTATGTCTGGGTGGTCACACACTGAAGTCAACTCTGGTGTTCTGCTTCTCTGAACAAGAACTTTGGTACAGCTGAGCCACACACCCCCGGGGCGTCCCTGGGGCAGATTCCCCGCAGTAGGGTTGCTAAATCAAGTAGGAACAAGTCCAAGTACTCTTGACATTCCATCTCACTGTTTTCCTACCAACATCCCTGGTGACAGCCTGTCCTTCCTCGCTGTGCAGGTGTAGATGGTATACCCGCTTTGTGCCCAGAACCGAGGGTGCAGAGCCAGCCTGCCCCTCACAGCAGGTGCTAAGCCAAGACTTGCCTTTTATCAGCTCTCATGGAAATCCTGCAAACATGATGAGAGAGAGAGGGTATCTGGTTTCACTTTGCATTTGCTTAATTGCTAATGAGATGCAACCTTTATTCCTGTGTATTATTCTTCTTGCTGCTTTCCTTCACTTCCTTCCCAGTGTGGGAGAGTTATTGCAACTCCTTCCTATGATAAAGCTACTCCCTCTTTTGTAGAAAAAGCAAAAAGCAAAGCCAAAGCTTGTGGATGACACTGGGGGAGGAAGGCTATGTATTTCCCTAGGCCACAGAAGTGGCTTAATTACCAGTAAGCAGAGAATGCCCAGGTCACCCTACAGATAGGTGCCGCTAACATTGCCAGAGGCCATGAAGACCCACACAGGGCTGTGTGGCTGGGGACCCCACTCCCTCACAAGCCTGCTCTGCTCCACCCTCCAGCCCTTTCCTAAGAACACTAGCTCAAAGTCAGAATCAAAGCCACCTCATTATTCCTCGGCTCCTCCCAGGCTGCTCTGAAGATGATGATCAGTGGAAACTCCTCTTTTTTGCCAAGGAAAAGCTACCCATGATCCTAGCAGGCCAGGCCCTGAGGAGGACAGTCACCCAGTACTGCTTTGTGCCCTCTACACATCACAATGACAGCAGCTACCTTGGCATGCAAGCTGGCTCCACTTAGTAACACTGCAAGAGGCAACCTGAAGATGTTTTTGCCAGGCCCTGTGAATTAATTAAAAGTTCCCTCACTTTGTCCCTGTGGCCTTTGACCTGAGCTAATTTCTGCTGCAGTCCCTTTGCAATCAGCGGGGGCTCCAGGAAAAAGAAGCTTCACTGGCAAGGCATCTTGCGAGGAAGGAGAAGGCAAACTGTTCACACAGGCCTGGCCTTATTATCTTCAAAGAAACAGCTAAAATCTCAGGAGATAACATGTCAGATAACTCCTTCCAGTTTGGTTGCAGATTTTTTTTTTAAAGTCATAACAATTCTTTGGAACTCCTCCAAGGACAAAGACTGAGATAAAGGTCACTCAGGCCTCACCTGTGACCAGGGACTGTTTGAACTCTGCATACCTTTCTCACCCTCTGTCCCCTTTCTTCCTATTGAACCCGAAGTCAAGGTCTGTGAAGAGGTACCAAAGTGCTGTCTTCCCATGGCTGCTATGTAATGAATCTCCTTTCTCTGCCCTTCACCACATCCATTTGGAATACGGGAATGAGTGGCCGGAGATAGCACAGGACTCCTGGACTTGGGGGCTGGTGTCTAAACATCCAGCTTCAACATCAGAAGGAGGAAGAGGAACGACCACCAAAGCCACAAGGAACCAAGTCAGATGCACACCACTGAGCTACATACAGAACATGGCATGGCCTAAAAGGTCCAGAGTCAAAAAGAAAAGCAGTTGTGAAAAAGGCAGACATCCACCAAACTGGGCCACATTACCCAGGTGTTCAGTGGAACATTATTCTAGATGCTTCTCTGGCAGTGTTTTTCAGATAAACATTTAAATCTGCAGAGAAACAGAACCCATGGGTGGAAAGGGACACACACCATAAACACAGTTTTATAGTGAAGAATTGCTTCATGTGACTCTGGAGCCTGAGAAGTATGGAGATCTATAATCTGCAAGCTGGAGACACAGAAAAGCTGATGGAGTAATTCAGTCAGAGAATCAGAGGGTGTAAATCCCAAAGTCCTAGTTCAACCTGGCAGATGGGAGAAAAAGAGCCGCTCCCTTCGTTGGGTTTTGATCTAGTGAGGCCCTCCCGGGACTGGATGGTGCCCACCAGTGTGGGAGAACAACTTCCCTCACCTACTCCACCACTTGTGTGGTCCAACACTCGTGTCTGTAGAACATCTGCCGAGATTCCAGACATAATGCCTTCATCTGGGCACCCCACGGCCCAATCAAGCAACTACCACATCAGCCAGTTGATAAAATAACTACATGGGAACATGGGAAGTATTTGCAATATAAATCCTAGGGCAGAGCATATCCAAACTTAAACCTCAGCTCTCATATCTCAACTCTTCTTGGAGCCCTATATTTTGTGAGTAAAAGCAGACTGAAACCCCTAACCTCACAGTGGCTGCACTCTTACAGTTAAGGAACATGAAGCCCTAAGCATCACAGACAGCCAGTATCCATGTGAATGAGGATGAGCAAAGACAAAACTAGGGTCCATCTCATGACAAAGAGGAAAGAAGTACTAAAACAACATACAAATCAAAGCTTCCATGGGGCCCGAACTCTGGGCCTGGGTGCTGTCCCTCAGCTCTTCAGCTCAAGGACAGCGCTCTACCACTTGAGCCACAGTGCCACTTCTGGCTTTTTCTGCTTATGTGGTGCTGAGGAATCGAAGCCAGGGCCTCATGCATGCAAGGCAAGCGCTCTACCACTGAGCCACCTTCCCAGCCCCAACACTATATTTTAATCATATCAAAGATGCCTTTCTGTAAATTCATTTTATACTTAAACAGGCTACACTGTGAAGTCAGCCGTGATTAGCACAGCACTGTGAACTGTAGCGCCTAAGTGATGAGGGGCTAGACCGGCGATGAAGGACCCCACATGCAGTGTCTCTGGACTCAATGCACCTGCAGAGGCTCTGGGAGATGAAAGGCCTCATCCCACTGAGCCTAGGAGAAGCCACACAGCCAGTCAGAGAGCTTCAGGTTGCCCTGCTTTGCTTCAGACCCCTCCTGTATCCAGCCTCTCCCAGGGTTCACATCTGCAGCAGTTATGCTTTACACTCCTAAAGCCCAGCACAGACTTCTTTGTTTTGTTTTTTTGTCAGTTGTGGGGCCTGAACTCTGGGCCTGGGTGCTGTCCTTCAGCTCTTCAGCTCAAGGCTAGTGCTCTACCACTTGAGCCACAGCTCCACTTCCTGCTTTTTCTGTTTATGTGGTGCTGAGGAATCAAACTCAGGGTCTCATGCATACAAAGCAAGTTAAGTACTCTACCACTGAGCCACCTTCCCAGTCCAGCCATGACTTCTTTAGATATACCTGCCTTCCTTCAGAGCTTGCCCTGCCAGTGGCAAGTTAGAGATGTGAGGAAAACCCAGCCTGTAACAATGAAAATCAGAGGGACATAGCACACACTTCAAGGCATACATTCAGACACTTACTCTGTGCAAAGTACCTTCAAATACTCTCCCTCCCCTCTTAATTCTCAGAAGAAAGGCAAGCCAACACTCTCCCCTCCTAAATAATGACCTAAAAAAAATGAATCAACAAATAAATACAAAATTTGTGTTCTAATTCCACCCACCACTGTTGAAGGGAAAAGCGGTTGATGTCAACTCTCCTTGAGAGTTCAAGGGACTTACTTGTCTGGGGACTCTGAGCAGACCGGGTGCTTCCTTCCTGCTGAGTTCCTGTACCCTTCATCCTCATTTTCATCCACATCCTCATCGTCGATGCTTTTCACATCGAGCTTCTGGTACCCAGACTCCCCGTTCAATGACATAGAATCAATTTTCCATGAGTTACTGCTCTGGCTGCCATTGGAATTTGGCCCAAAGGGGCTTTCAAAGGCCGACATGATATTGACTGAGGAGCGGTCAGAGTTCTCCTCTGAGCTCTCCCCTGCCCCGGGTATCTTTTTGAAAATATCCCCAGAGTTCTGCTCATCTTCTTCATCATCAAATGAGATAATGTTGGTCACCTTCTTTTTCTTCTTCCGTTCCTTTTTACATCTGGCATCTGGCAAAAAGAAAAGGTAGGAATAGAGAAAAGTAGACGAGACAGATGAGAATGGAGCCAATGTCAGTAAAACCACTGACAAGTAAGCAGTCACCCCATTTCCTTCTTAAGCCCTGAAGAACACCTGTCCTCAGAAGGCAGGACATCATGGTGTAATGGATGCAGTCTCTCCTGACTTCACAGATGCACCACAGCAAATACCAGCACTACTCCCTTCCAGCAACCACTCTGACCCCACAGACTGACACTATGGCATGGTTTCCACTGGTGCATGTGGCAACCACGCCTGAGGCTGGAAGATGAGGCCAGTAAAGCCTGTTTGGGGCCGCAGTCAGCTGTTTCAGTCTTGATGACTTGTGCTCCTGTGTGATGTCTTGGCAGAGACCATGCTGCTCCTCCATGGGGAGGGCAGGGTCATGGTCCCTACACCCCTTGAATCTGTGCTGGAGCAGAGCTCTGCTTTTACCAATGGAACATAGCAGACACAACACCAAGTACTAAGGCCCAGACATCAAAAGAGCTCATGCGCAGCCTTGGTCTCTTGGATGGCCACCTTTATAACGGTAGCTTTATAACAGAAGCTGGTCTCACTGGAGCATGAGTGTGCAGAATGACAAAAAGAACAACTGCAGACACAGGAACAGGGCCATCTGTAGAGGCTCCACCACACCAATGCACAGATCATAACAAACAGAGGTGTATATGCAAACCCTAAAGTAAGCACACAGCCTCAGGGACCAGAGCTAAGATGATCCTACGTGTCCACCCATCTTAGTCATCAAGCCTGGCTAGAATACGTCATGCCAACCCGCACCAACAAGCAGTGCCTGGCAATAACTCCCCGATGTGGCCCAAATGTGAGATAATTTCAAAAGCTCAGAGTCCAACAATTGCCAGGACTGGTGGTATTAGAGTAACAAATCTCAGTGTTGGTCACACTAACCCTCAGATGTCCTGTTCCCAAGGCTTTCCTGGGGGGTTTCTGTACCACGGGCCATAGGGTGCTGGGCTCTCACTGGTCACTCCAGAGATGGATATAATCAGTGCTGTAGGGAGGCGACATCAAGGGCCTGGCGTGTGCCCCCAAGGTTTCTGCTTTTAGTAACTCCAAATGCCCCAGGGGTGCTCTAAACTGCATGCAGGATTCATCTTTTTTTTTTTTTTTGGCAATGGTGCCTGAACTCTGGGCCTGGGCACTGTCCCTCAGCTCTTCAGCTCAAGGCTAGTACTCTACCACTTGAACCACAGCCCCACTTCTGGCTTTTTTCTGTTTATGTGGTGCTGAGGAATCGGAGCCCAGGGCCTCATGCATGCAAGGCAAACACTCAACCGCTGAGCCACCTTCCCAGCCCCAAGGATTCATCTTAACCCAATTCTTCATCACCCCACAGCCAAAGCTGAGGAACTGCTCTCTTCACTCAGACTCTACTTAAATGTCCCTCTCCTGATAGAGAAGGCCAGGCATATTCGCATTCTTGGCCTTCACCCAGTCCCCAGTCCTGTGTGTCACAAGAACAATAAGTTATTTGTATAATTTGTCTTTAAACTTCTCCCCTCCTCTATCCCCAGGGAGGCTGCGAGCTGTGAGCTGGCAATCTGTCTCATTTGTTAGCTCACTGTCCAGCACAAAGCATGCCATAAATAATGAATGAGGAACACACGACTGAAGACCCACCCATCTGGCTTCCTGTGCCTACCACACCCCCACTTCCAGTGTGTTGTGACCAGCCTGCTGGATTCTCTACCCCCTCACCTTCACGTGTGCACACACGTGTACACCGCCACGTGTGGGCATGTCAGGGTCTTTCCCAATGAATGAGGGTAGAAAAAAATAAACACAAACTGAACATGCCAGGGAATCTCATTTCACTCCGCCTGAAAGGACTCAGGTAGTGTAGGTGCCACTCCTACCTTCATTCCTCCCCCCACCCCCACCCCCTTAACTGGTGCATGCAACCCCAGGGCCTGTCCACACTCACCGCCACTGACACTCCTGGACACAACGGGCAGCGGGTCACTCTCCTGCTCGGGTCTGATGAGGATGGAGACAGCAGAGGAGGCCGTGATCTCCCTGAGAAGGCTGCTCACTCCCTGCGTGGACTCCTTCAGCAAGGACGTCACATTCTGTGTGGACTCCTTCAGGAGGTCTGACACGGTGGGAGCGAACTTACTCTGCCCGTTTAAATCCTTGTTGTCGATGTTAATGGCAAAGAGTATGGAGTTGAGACCTGCCCGGAAAAGGGGCGAGCCCAGGTGACTGCCATCAGGCAGACTCACCTCCTACAGAGCACACACATCTCATTTGTTCAGAAACCTCTACAAAGCTGACCTAGAAGCATAGGATCGCCTAAGTCCTGGCTGGGATCAAGCTGCCAGAGGGAGAGCCCTGGCACCACTTACTACGCACTTGACTTTGGTCAAGCAACTTACAATGTCCCCGGCTTCATTAAGGTTCTTCCCTATAAGATGAGGATAACGCGATCTCCCTCATAGGATTTAAGGAAATATTAAATACAATTGTTTAATAAGCAATCAATAATATATATAAATAGCAGCATTATAATTACTCCTAGGCAAAAAAAAAAAACCTTACTGTGTCCTCTTGGCTACTAAGGAAATCATGGCCAAATCCTGACTCGTTCTCATCACTTGACAAGACTAACAGAGCTCTCAATATGCAGCCTTGGCTAGGCGCCGATGGCTCAAGCCTGTAATCCTAGTTACTCAGGAGGCTGAGATCTGAGGATCAATTGTTGAAAGCCAGCCCAGACAGAAAAGCCCATGAGACTCTAATCTTCAATAAACCACTAGAAAACAGGAAGTGGTGCTGTGGCTCAAGAGGTAGAACACTTGCCTTGAGCTGAAGAGGGCAGGGACAGCACCCAGGCCCCAGAGTTCAAGCCCCACAACCAAGAAAAAAGAGAGAGAGAGAGAGAGAGAGAGAGAGAGAGAGAGAGAAAGTGTGTGCGTGTGTGTGTGTGTGTGTGTGTGTGTGTGTGTGTATGCAATCTTGGTAGAAACTTTTAAAAGAAAAAGAAAAACTTTTCAAAGGAACAATGCCTTGTGTCTGTGATCTCAGCTACTGGGAATTTCAATTCAAAGCAATCCAAGGCAAAGATTTAACAAGAGCTCCATCTCAACCAATAATCTGAATGTAACAGCACATACTACTCAGGAGAATTGCAATCTGAGGCCAGATCCAGACACCCCCCCCAAAAAAAAAAGACTCTACCTGAAAAATAACTAAAGCAAAAAGAACTAGAGGCATCACTCAACTGGTAGATACCTCCTACCAGGCACAAGGCTCTGAGTTCAAACCCCAATACCATCATAAAAGAGAGGGGAGAGCAAAACAGAATCTGGAAGAAACACAAGTCTCCACATTTTGTCTGGTTAATTCTATCATTCACTCTCGGAGTGACAGTCAAACGCCAGTCCACCAGACAACAACAAGCTAGGGCCTTCCTTCATGTGGGCAACCCAGGTACACCACCCTTTATCTTCTATAACTGCCACAAAGCCCTAAAAAAGTGGCTAGACAGCTGTCCAGATTCCTGCCTCTCGGAGGAGGAAAGCACAGGTAACAGAGCTAGGGTTTAAGGTAGGATTCCCTTCTCAGTTCCCTGGCTCTTTATATTACACCTGCCAAGCCAGTAACAACACCTCCTAACCCCGTGCATTTTTTTTTTTGCCAGGATAGCCAATTCCCGAAGAATGGACCTGGCTTAAAGGAAGACCACAGTGAGACTCGTGAGGTCAGCGACGAGTAGGGAAATCAGTGTACCCCTTGGACTGGAAGTCCACCCTCAGACTGTCCTCTCTACTCCCCCAAGTTTCCTGGAACCCACCGTCCCCGGCTGGGCCAGGCTTACCAGCTGCCATGGTGGGAAGCATGCTAGACCTTTCTTCATCCATCACAAAAGACCAATCTTCATAAAACGTGCTGCAAGGGAAAAGAAAAGGAAATGTTTGTAATAGTGCTTCTAAACGTCTATCCACCACACAATTCCACGAAGATGACTCCCTGGGAAATCCGTGTCTAGCCACCACCCCACAGAGGAAATGCTGTGTCTGAGGTCTCTGTTGGTTTGAACCTGCTCTAATAAACAAAGGTCTGAGTACGTAGCTCCAGCAACTTCCTCCCTAGTCCCCTGAAACAGACATATGGAAATATATTTATAGAGCAGTTAGGCAGAAGAGAACAGACGGGTGACTTCCACTCATGCAAGGTCCCCAAGAGACAGGAAATCCAAGCTGGGCAACAGGGCCTACCTGATTTGACTAACACCAGAAGACAGTTTCAGGAAGAAAGAATAGAATTATGCCTCCACAAACCAGGCATTCACTTACAATACCTGCCTGGGCTATGAACTCAGGAACCCACGTTATCCTTGGAAAGGACTGGGAGAGTACAAAGGTCCTGTGAATATAAACAGGAGCTGGGGAAAGGAGGGAGAGAAGCTCACAGGGCCTACCCAAGGTGATCCCGCCAATAAACGGTACAGCCAGGACTCAAAACCCATTTCCCCAGTCCCATTTCCAGGCTGTTTATGTGACTCCACATTAAGCAACAACCACCAAATAACCTCGGTGCCCTGACTGCCCCGCCAGGCTCTGACATTCTAAATGAACAGACTCAAAGCTCCATTTCACCTTAGTCCACTCAGTGCTGAGTGGCCTATAGTGCAGTGATGTGACTGGATATGTTCAGAAAGAGAAGACACCCGTTGCTCACACGCTTGCCTTGTCTGTGAGTGAAGCTCAGACACAAGGCCAAGCTGGCGTTTCAGCTGCCCAATGCTCTACACCGTGGCCCTTTCACATACAATTCCAGGCTCCCTGCACAGATGAAGAAGTTGCTGGTGTTTCTGTCAGTACCTGCCATCCAGTTTCCCTAGCCTCTCACGGTTATGGAGCTTGAACTCAGGGCCTGGGCATTGTCCTTGAGCTCTTCTGCTTAAGGCTAGCACTCTATCACTTTGAGCCACAGCACCACTACAGGTTTTTTGAGTAGTTAATTGCAGGTGAGTGTCTCACACGGACTTTTCTGCCCTGGCTAGCCTCAAACTGCAATCCTCAGATCTCAGCCTCCAGAGTATCTAAGATTACAGACATGAACCACCAGCACGGCGTGGGTGTGTGTGTGTTGTCAGTCCTGGAGCTTGAACTTAGGTACCTGGGCACTCTGTGTATGTGTGTGTTCAGTCCTGGAGCTTGAACTTAGGTGCCGTGTGTGTGTTTTCAGTCCTGGAGCTTGAATTTAGGTGCCTGGCACTCTCTGTGTATGTGTGTGCTTAGGTGCTGTGTGTGTTTAGGTGCTGTGTGTGTGTTTTCAGTCCTTGAACTTAGGTGTGTGTGTGTGTGTGTGTGTGTGTGTGTGTGTGTGTGTGTGTGTGTGTGTGTGTG